AAAAAAAAAAAAAAATAGTCCTTATTAATAATCACTTATATATCCTTCTTGGAAAAAATAAACATAATGCTAGGGTAAATATCCAAAATGGACATGAACAGAATCATGGTAGGCATATAATTCTATATTAATTAGGAAATATTTTCATATTAATCCATATAGATTTACCTTGCTTTTAGCAACTGCTTACTGTCATACTGATGGACATTGGTTTTTGTTATGACTGTTGGCAGAGAATATCCTTACACATCCTGGAACTTCTGCAGGAATACTTGTAGAATGCATATCTGACAATACATTGCAGATTAAAGGGGCATGGGCATTTACAATTTTGATAGATATTGCCAAGCTGACTTTTCAGTGGTTTCACTAGTTCCTTCTTCTAGAATATGTTTTCCCTCAACTCCTTCTTTGTTTTTTAGGTTTTTTGTTGTTAAGACAGAGTCTCACTCTGTTGCCCAGGCTGGAGTGCACTAGCAGCTTCCAACTCCTAAGCTCAAGTGATCCTCCTATCTCAGTCTCCTAAGTAGTGGAGTTACAGGCATGCATAACACCTCCAGCTAATTTTAAAATTTTTTTGTAGAGACAGGGTCTCACTATGTTATCCAAGCTGGTCTTAAACTCCTGGCCTCAAATGATCCTCCTGGCTTGGCCTCCCAAAGTACTGGGATTATAGGAATGAGCAACTATACCTGGCTTCCCCCAACTTTTTATTTAGAAAAAGTGTTAAGCTCATAGAAAAGTCTAAATAATTGTGTAATGAATACCCAAATCTCCTTTACTTAAGTTTACCAATTATTGTGTTGCCATATATATTAGTTTTCTCAGGCTGCCATACCAAAATATTACAGACTGGATAGCTTAAACAACAAACACTCTCCCAGTTCTGGAGGCTGGAAGTCTGAGATGGAGGTGTCATTTGGCAGGGTTGATTTCTATTGAGGCTTCTTCTGAGGCTTCTATCCTTGGCTTGTAGATGGCCACCTTCTCACTGTGTTCTTGCATGGTGCACTCATGTGTTTGTGTCCTAATCACCTCTTAAAGGGATACTGATGGTATTGGATTAGAGTCTGTCCATGATGTCATTTAACCTTAATTACTTCTTTAAAGGTCCCTTTTCCAAATACAGTCATACTTTAAGGTATTGAGGGTTAGGACTTCAAAATATAACTTTGGAGGGGTAGACACTATTCACATTTGTTTCTCTTAATATATATCATATTAATATAGTATAATTATACCATAATGGACTTATATAGTTACACTGTATTATAATTATGACATATTATAATTATGCCATTTATAACATGTTTACAATATGAGTAGTAATTTTCCCCCTAAACCACTTGAAAGTAAATTGCAGTCTGTTACTTTGGCATGTTATCTCCTAGGAAAGAGGTCCTTAGGGTATGTTTGATATCCTGCCTTTTTTACTGCTGGGGAAAGATTTCTCTGAAGCAGAAGAACAAATGAGTGTGAAGTGGCTTTGGCCTTGACTGCAGGCTTTCCCTAGATGGTTTTGCCCTGACCTAGTTTTCTCCAAGTCTCCTTCCTCAGCCCCCAGGGAAGACTTGTCATGCTCTTGGGAAGGAGCCTTCTGCTTTTGAGAGCTGTTCTGGTGAGCAGAACCTTTTGGCCTCAACTCTAGATTGTCTGGTGTTCTTGAGGTCTTGGATCTGTGATGTGTCTGTCACCCAGATAACAGATCTCCTTGCAATTCCACCTGCTTTTCGGTCTCTTTCTATCAACATGTCTTGCTAAATACCAGACTTGTTATTTTAATTCTTTGTAGAGGCAGCCCTTGCTTTGCAAAGTGCAGGCTGCCTGTATCTATTCAGGATAAGATTCATTGCCATTTCCTCCCTCCCTGTCTCCTTCTCCTGCACCCTTACTGGCAGCTCAGAACTCCACCAGAGTTGGTTCTTGCCTGCTACCAGTAGTAATGAGGCATCCTCTATTGGCTTGTGTCACTGTCTGTTTCTTCTTTGGTACTGTTGTGTGGGAAAACACCCTACAGGCAGCACTTGCAGTGTTCATTTTAGTAGATAGAATTAGAGGGGTTTTACTTCCTCTTGTTCAAATAGATATATCTGCAGACCCAAGGTGCAGGTGTCAATTGAGCAAGTCGTGGACCTTCTGAGGCCAATCAGATTGTTGCTGAATGAGTGCCCCACTCCTGCTGACTGTGCCATCACTGGAGAACTGCTACCTAGTGACCACAGCCAGGGTCCTTCCTGAGTCCTGTCCACCCCCAGAAATCCATCAGTGAACAGAGCCATCTTGCTACAACACAGTTCAACTTGTCTATGACTCTGCTTAGAACTCTTCCCTGGCTTTTCCTTTTCCTACGGGATTCATTCCAGACTCTTTGGCCCAGCATTTTATACCCCGCCTTATTTGGCCCCTACTCAGTTTGTCACCCTGTTGCCTGCCTTTCCCCCAACTTCCCTTGTTACCTACTGTGTTGAAGCCAAGTTGAATTATTCCAGACACACCTGCTGTGCTATGTCCCTACACCTGGTGGGGTTTACTCTGCCCAGAATGTGTCGTCTCCCCACCCCCACCCAAATCTCTTTGCCAAACTCATAACCAACCTTCAGGGCCTGGCTTAACCATCCCTCATCAGAGAAGCCTGTCCTAACTGCTGCCCTTCCTCCAGGCAGGTTGGGTTGGCCATCCGACCTTTGTGCTGTCATTCTGCCTCAGACTTCCCTCTTCTCTAGCACTTAACACACTATGTGTCTGTCCCCCTAGTCGCTAGACAACTGACTTTACTATTGTGTCCTTAGTGCCTGGCTTGTAGTAGGCACTCAGGAAACATTTGGGTGGCTGGATGGATTTATCGTTGAAGAACAAATCCTGAACTTATTAGTAGGATTCTGCTTATTGTTACCAGTCCTTATCTGAGTGAGCCTGACCAGAAGCTGCGAGGAGTTGCTCTTCCTGAGTAACCAGTTCTGAAGAGTCCATTGCTGTCATCAGCAATACAGGGCTCAATGACCTTCACTGGGCTTAATGTATGTTATCATATGTTGAAAGAAAAAGTAACTTAACATATTTATGGAGACAGTGAATAAAATGATAGTCTCACTTGTTATATGCATTTTGCTTTGTTATTGCTTTGGAAAACTACTGAGGTCTGTCTTTTCTTTCAGTCAAACGTTTCCGAGAACCAAAGCATGAAAGGCGTCCGTGGAGGATATGGTAGGTATTTAAGTATTAATTCATTCCTAGAATGCTTTTGACAATATTGGGGAAGGAAGGGGATGGAATATGAGGAATTACGTGTAAGTTAAGTGTCTGGGATCCCTAGTTGAGTTAATCACTAGGAAGTGTGGATAATATGAAAGTACTTCTATTTCTTTAGGTAACTTTTGGTCTCTACTTTCATTTTATGATCACTTTGCTTCCTCTTTAGGGAAATGGAAGATAATAAAATTCATCAGTCCCTGCTGTAGGCTCCTTCATCTGTATCTACTTGTTAATAGATTATGTTCGAATTCTTGGATTCTGTAGTCTATATATGTAAACAATAAATAATCCAAATCTGGAGATTAGTCAGCCATGACACATAAATACTGCTGTCCCTGAAGCTACTCTTTCTTGGTTTTAGGATAAAAAAACTATTTCTCTAGTCACAACATTTATGATAACAAATGTATGGGTTTTTCCCCCCACATAAACCAGTTTTCTCTCTTTCCAGATACCAAGTGGGTGTCCTATAGTTGTAACTCAATTCTGACACCAGCTGGATGTAGTATAGACCCAACAGATTAAGGCTCAGTCCCACAGACTGCCCTCAACATCAGATGTCAGTTACAATCTACATTTCTTTCTAAGTTGGCTGGAAAGTCAGGGGCTTCCACAATCTGTCTCATGTTGATAACTAGTGCTGGTTCTATTTTGTACAGGTTTTTAGACACTTCCAAACAAGCCATAGGAATGCTATTCATCCACTTTGCAAATGTATACCTAGCAGATCTCACTGAAGAGGACCCTTGTTCCCTGTGAGTGGTTTGTATTTGAGTGCAAACATCCCAAACATCACCCACCCCTCCATTCAAAATGTTCACTGGCCTGGCTTTTTCTTTTTCTTTTCTTTTCTTTTTTTTTTTTGAGACAGAGTTTCACTATGTTGCCTGGTAGAGTACCATGGTGTCACAGCTCACAGCAACCTCCAACTCTTGAGCTTAAGCTATTGTCTCAGCCTCTCAAGTAGCTGGGACTACAGGCGCCCACCACAATGCCTAGCTATTTTTTGGTTGTAGTTGTCATTGTTGTTTGGCAGACCCAGGCTGGATTTAAATCTGCCAACTCCGATGTATGTGGCTGGCGCCCTAGCCGCTGAGCTACAGGCCCCAAGCCTGGCCTGGCTTTCTGCTGCTGGTCCTGCTCCCTCTAGCTTAGGGAGACGGTGCTCCCCTTTCTCCTCTGTGTTCCTCCGAGAAGCTATCCTGTGCATGCTGTCCCTGAGCTGTTGGGTCATAGGGCCCATGCATTAGCTTTCCACTGATCAAGTTCTATCCTTTGATTTTCCAGTGCCCCTATGTCCCCCAGTTTTTATGCAGCCCCTGGCAAGGAAGGATAACACCCTGCAGGAGTCTGTGCTGGAGCCAGGACATGTGGGGCCCTCTCTTTGGTGTCAGCCACTCAGAGTCAGAACGGTTGCTGAGCATTGTTGACCTCTTTGACCAAGAGACTGTGGGTTCTTCTGCCTTCTCACTGTACTGTGTCTTCCACACAGCCCTCAGACAATCTATCTGCAACCTTAGTCTGTCATGATGTGCTATCCTTGGAGCACCAAGACCCACACGATGGTCTTGCTCCAAGACCTACATGATGCTTTGCTGTCTGCCAGTCTCACCTGTTTTGAGTATGGAGCACAGAACTTTCTGTCTCATTGCCAAGGCCTGGCATACAGCAGGCTTGGTAGATATTTGGGAAGTGAATGAATAAACAAACATAAGGCACATATACCTCAGGTGTTCTTGTTCTCATTTTTCAGGTATGTCTCAGGTATGAAAACTCAGGTGCAAGAAGCTCTCAACACCAAAAGTGTCTGGGAGCAGTGTAGCCTCGGGCCAGAGGAGAAATTACCTTGGAAGCGCATGTTATTCCTGCCATCTCTGGTCTGAGAGTGACCCCTTGTGATTTTAAAGAGGAAGGGCAGGCAGGAGAAATGCCGCCCCTTCCATATTCACATCGACTTTCTTGCTTCTCTGACCCCAAAGAGCGTGCGCTTGACTGAGGCTGGGCTTGGGGTGGGAGGCTGCGCATCTGTGTAAAATGTGTCTAGTCTTGGCAACTTGAAAGCTGCTGTGGCCGGATGTTTTGGTGTTCTGAAGCTAATCTCGAGAGATTTCAGAGCTATTTGGTATCACAGAGGGTCAGTACCTGGCCCAGTGACCTTATCTACCACAGAGCAGTGCTCCCCTGGATTTGGGTGCAAGGCCCTCAAGAGATGATGGGTGGTGAGGGAAAAGTTTTTGTGTCAGACAGATGGAAACAGACTTTGCAAGGACATGTGGTCAATGTGGACCTGCCCTTTGGGCCCACCTTCTCTTCTTCCTCTCGTCATCTTGCCTTTTCTGTGGGGAGTAAAGCTCTCTCTTTAAAGCATAAAGATATTACTTGCACTGGACTCCAGATAGAAACAAATGAAGGCTCGTGGCCCTGCCTTCTTGCCTAAGTAGACCTAGAGAGCATTTTCCTGAAGTGCCGGGGGAAGCAGTGTGGCTGGGCCCTTGTGTGAGCTGTATTGTCAGGGAGTGAACAGAACACTGGATGGATTGTTTGTTAGTCACGTTCTCCTGCTGATCTCCTTGGCTGCTTCCAAGTGTGCTGTCTTATATTGAGCCTTCACCTGGCAGGAACACCTGAGAGTGTTTAGGTTGCTTTGTCCCTCCTCCATCCCTCCCTCAAGTAGTTGGACTCCTGATGAGCTGAGAGGCCTCAGAATTGCATAGGCTCCTCAGGGTGGTCAGCCCCCAAACAAGACCAAACAAATTCAGGCCAGTCGGCCCCTCTAGGGCCATGCAGCCTTGGCCTTGACCTCTGGCCTTGGTAGCCATCATGCTGCAGCCTGGACCCGTGACTTCTACCCTGACTGTGCTGGCGTGCCCTCTCCTCACAGGTACCTCATCAACTTTCTCCTGGACGCCACCGTGGGCATGCTACTCATCTACGTGGGGGTGCGTGCCGTCAGCGTCCTGGTGGAGTGGCAGCAGTGGGAGTCCCTGCGCTTTGGTGAATATGGTAATGTGCCATGGACATTGGACAGGGTGAAGTGGGACTGCTTGAAGAGTCGCTCCTTGTCCCATGTGGCCCACCAGGCACATGGATCCGTAAAAGGCTCAGGAGCTGGCAGCTGTCTTCTCTGTGTGTTAGAGGGGTGGTCCTGGGGCCTGAGCTCACCCTCTTGTGAGCATAGGTGCCCACTTCACTGCTGAGGCTCTCACATTGTGGCAGGAAAGCTGCCAGGAACCAGGAAACACTAGACTTGGGAGGAGACCAGACATTTGCCCCTTCCACTAGAGGGCACCAGCAATCCCACCACAGGACCACAATGCCACATCATTCCGCCAGACTTCCCCCAGAGCTCACAGTACCTTAGAGAGATGAGACAACTCTCATTCTGTGGAGGTGCAAAGCCCTGCTCCTCTTTCTACCGCACATCTGTGCTTGTCCTATCACTGGGCCCCTGGAACTCACATAGCCAATACTGGCAGGTACCTCCCTGTGAGAGCCAAGTTGCTTTCCCATCTCCCAACTGGGTCTCACTCCCAACCCAGAATCTGGCATCTAGCATGTCCCAGTCACCATGGGCACGAGGTTCCTCACACAGAGACCCAGCTTGAAGCAGGTGATTTACAGATATTGGCTGAGCTGTGACCCTCCCATCTTAGACCCCACTGGGATACAGCTTAGGTGGGACGTTGCCTGGGTGCTGGCTCTGAGCATGACGGATAGCTGGATAACAATAGCCTCAACAGGGACTTTGTGAGAGGTGCCTCTTCAGACCCTCACTGCCCTCTAGGTTTTGGGACAGGGTTACAGGGTAACATCACTTCTTTATCCACTGTCACACCTGCCCCCACTGTCTACAGAGAGCAGCTCCTCTTCCCAGGTGGAGGGACATCAGTGGAACATTTGCTATGGGAGGGGGCACAGAAGATAAGAGGGAGGGAGTGCAGATGGAATTCTGGATCCCCACTCTCCTTTCTGGGTTGCACCTCCCAAAAAGCTAATGGCTTTGGGCTCAAGGTCCACTCACTCCTACATAGCTGAAGATCCACAAGGGTCTGACAGTTTAAAAGGGGAGCAGCCAATTCACGGAGCTGGCTGTGAGTTCTTGGGGTATTTCTAGAAATCTTAAGTAATTGTTTTTCTCTGTTGAGGGAAGATGAACTCAGGGAAGGGCTTTTCTTAGTCCTGTTACTTGATGCCTGATGAGTCACTGAATGAAGATAGTGTCCAGCACATAGTGTATGCCTCCCGTGGCTCAGGAAAGGCGTTTGAGAAGTTCTGTGTCATTAGTTCCTCAGTTTGCAGGACAGAAATGGCCCACGGCACATGTGGACCAGAGCATCAGCATCTTCATTTATAGAGCAGGCCTCCTGAGATGTTAAGTGACACAGAAGTTCACCCAGCCAGTGCCCACTGCACCGGGACACCTAAACCCTCCACCACCTCCAAGAACCATGCTCATAACTACTCCTTCGCCATTGAGATCTCTTTTGGAAGGCAGGGCTCTCAGTCAGCTCTAGCTGAGCAGTGCTGAGGTGGCTCTGCCTTTTTTTGCCTTCTATTTCTGACAATTTCTGTTAATTTCTATTGCGGCTATACCAAACTACCGCAGACTTCATGGCTCAAAATTACCTTACTGTTCTTTCATTCAGAGGTCCAACATGGGTCTCACGGGTCCAAACTCAAGGTGTCAGTAGAGATGGCATCTAGAGGCTCTGAGAGATTGTTTCTTTGCACTTTGCAGCTTCTAGAGGCCACCTACATGCCTTGCCACTTGGCCCTTTCCTCCATCCTCCCAGCCAGCCACTCCTCTCATTGCTCTGCCCTCTCCCCACCTCCTTCCACTTTAAAGTGCCCCTGTGATCACATGCCCACCTGGACATGTTGAATACTTTTCCTGTCTTAAAGTCTGACTGGTAACTTTACTTCCCTCTTTGCTATACAGCACTTCACATTCACATATTCAAGGATTCAGATGTAGACTTCTTTGTGGGGATGTTATTCTACCTACCAGACCTGTTAACCTTCTCATCCATTTGAGGCAATAATTCCACATAGGCATCACAACTCTTTTAGGTAAATGACAAAGAGGGGCTGTTTTCTAGGTAGTTTATTTTGTTCCTAGAAGAGGTCATGAGCTTGCCAACAAGAACACAAGACTCAGGAAAATCAGCCACATAGCCTTGAGGGGCACGACCAGATCCAGGTGATCCAGGGGGTCTGTGCTTTGATGGCCAGGCCCCTCTTTCCCATACAGAAGAGAAAAGGTCTGTATCCCATGGCCATGGTGCTTCCTGGGCTTTGCTGCCCGTCCCTGTCCAAATACTCACTTCTAGAAGCCTCATAGCACAGATATGTTCCCTCCTGAAGAAGTAATTCAGCACCAGCAACACACCCACATACCTGAGGTTGTCCACTGCAGTAAGAAGCAGGACATACCAACTCTCCTCACCATGTCTGTCCTTTAAAGACCCACATGAAACAGGGATCAGGAAGCACCCCAGCCCATATGCACTCACCCCACCAGGTGATCCAAGTGTGCCAGAGGACAATAGAGTGGGGTCACAGCTGCCTTTTTTCCCTTTCTTTACCATGTTTCTGAACTTTATTTTGGCATCCAAGTAGGAAAAGAGGCATTTGGAGCTAAGTTGTGCAGTGGAACAACACAAGGCAGAGAGGACAAAAAGCAGTCTCCTCTTTTCTCAGTCACATAAAACTTGAGAGCAGATGGAGTGAGCATACTGAGCCTGCAACAGCCTTTTGGTAGTAAATAAGTGTTGCCACACGTCCTGCCGGCTCCCAAACACACCAGGCCTCATCAGAGATTTCCTACTAGAGCTTTCTGCCCAACTATTCTCTGTCTTATTGGCTTTTCACAAATATTTACATCCGTTACTGCTAAGGACTTTTCTCAATAAGGTCAGGTGATTTACTAAAAGGATTGCAAAACCCCACTAATAATCTAGCAAGGAAAGTTTATGCCTCTGATTTTTTTTTGGCTAAAATGTCTCTTATCCCTTAAGTGAAAGTGGAAAAGAAGTTCTCAAAGGAGGCAACTGATGTGTTTCTGCATGCTTTCTGCCACACTTGTCTCTGGGTTTTCCAGAAAAGGGAATGCTTTGGTGTTTTGTCCATTACAGCTGCATAATGGTATTCACTGGTGCTTCCACTGTGTACAGTTGGCAGGCTCAGGCAGGGCCAGGGCCCTCCAGCCAGGATGCCTGAGTAGGATTGCTACAGAAATAGTAGAACCAAATGAGAAGCTGGAGATTTCTTTTGGGGCCAAATTCTCTTCTCACGGCCTAGATTAGGGCCTTTACCTCCCCTGAAACATTATCCATTACCCGCTCTTCTCATCAACCCAATAGACCTTCTCCAGGTAGCCTCCCCTCCACCCTGCCCTCCCCTGTATCTGCCACTTTGGGAGACACGTGTAGCTCCCAGGCCCACCCTAGGGTTCTGGGTGTCTCAGCATCATTGCCTAGAGGGGCTGGTTCCTATCATTTGAAGCATTCTGGAAGCACTGCAGGGTCTGAGTGTCCCGGTTTGGACTTTTGGGTTCCTCAGTGACTGAAGGGATCACAGATGGGCCTTTGTCTGAGCCAGGCCTGGGCTTATCACTCCCACCTCTTTGCCTTGAGGGCTTCTCTTCTCTTCCTTGTCCCTGGCAAGGGTGTTTGGAATGATCCATACTAGGCAGTCAGAATCAGTTTCTTTAGAGTCAGATACTGCTCTCAGTGTGGAAGGCACAAGGGATAGCCAGGGACTGGGATACTGGTGGGAGGTGGGAGGAAGATGGAGACACCCTGGTTGATGCTGCCTTCATCATCCACAGAGGTCAGTTCACTCATGGACGGAAAAGGAGAGGCTGTACCATAGTCACTGGAAAAGTCAACAGCAGACAGTAATAGCAGTCTTGCTTCACACAGCTTTTGCTGCCAACAGGCAGACAGAACCAGCTTTTCTAAGCTCCAGCAATGAACACTTACTAACTTGTTAATTAGTGCTTTTTAATTGTATCTTAGAATCTCTTGAAAGAAAGGCCATTTTGGTATCTTCAAAGTAATTCCTGATTTTATTTAAAATGCTACATTTAGGGGCAGCACCTGTGGCTCAGTGAGTAGAATGCCGGCCCCATACACCAAGGGTAGTAGGTCTGAACCTGGACCCGGCCAAATTACAACAAAAAATAGCCGGGCGTTGTGGCAAGCGCCTGTAGTCCCAGCTACTCGGGAGGCTGAGGCAAGAGAATCGCCTAAGCCCAAGAGTTGGAGGTTGCTGTGAGCTGTGGCAGCATGGCACTCTACCGAGGGCAACAAAGTGAGACTCTGTTTCTAAAAAAAAAAAAAAAAGCTATATTTATCTGTTAGGGATGAGATCATTTTTAGAGGTAGGGGTGCTCCTTAAACATCCTTAGAGCCAGGGCACTGGGGTGTGGGTAGAGATGTGAAGGCTCAGAAGCCATGGGTGAGTGGGGTGGGGGGGCATTGTCTCACTTGGATGGATGTCCTGTGTGACTAAGCACCCATCTGCCCCTGCAGGAGACCCTCTGCAGTGCGGAGCCTGGGTCGGACAGTGTGCTCTTTACATCGTGATCATGATTTTTGAAAAGTCTGTCGTCTTCATCGTCCTGCTAATACTTCAGTGGAAAAAGGTTTGCTTGTGGTCCCAACTTTAGCATCTTCCTGCTAAGCCAAGCAAACAACACTTCCTCTCCCATCCCCCACATAGACCAACCTTAATAGAAAACCAAATTTGTTTCTGTTTTAACTTCATTATGTATCCTAGATTTGGTCTGCTATGGCAGCTACTTACAAGAGCAGTAACTTGTTCTTCTTTGACTTAACATTCATCCACTTCATTTATATGAATCTCTGCTCTACATAGATTAAGCCTTGGGATATATAAAGCTTGCTTGGGTAAGCCTGCCCTCAGCTTGCTTACCATCTAATGGTGGTTTTCAGGCCTTGCCACTGTAAATCTTTCTACATTGACAAGTGACCCCCTCACACTTTGTGACCTCTCTTTGCTAATGGTTTAGCTGAGCTATATGATGCCACCGGCAGTTTCCATGATCTGTGACCACTGACATTCTGAGGCCTTGGCCTCTGCCCCCAGCCCCAGTGCTATGCACATAAGCCTCCCTGGCTCATCTCTGTGCATGAAACAAGCCAAAAGCCTCCAAGAGCAATTGGCTCAGATCTTGGCCTCCCTTTGGTTTTATTTGTGGCTGGGTTTTATTTATTTTTATTTTATTTTTTTGAGCCAGAGCCTCAAGCTGTCACCCTGGGTAGAGTGCCATGGTATCACAGCTCACAGCAACCTCCAACTCCTGGGCTCAAGCAATTCTTCTCCCTACGCTTCCCAAGTAGCTAGGACTACAAGCGCCTACCACAACTCCCGGTTATTTTTTGGCTCCAGCCGTCATTGTTGTTTGGCAGGCCTGGGCTGGATCAGAGCCCGCCAGCTCAGGTGTATGTGGCTGGCGCCTTAGCTGCTTGAACCACAGGCACTGAGCCTGGGTTTTATTTTTTTAAGAAAATAAGCTCTAAGGCTTTATAGAGTTGTTGTCTTTCAGGGGTGGCTGGGATGCAGGATTTCTGTTAGGAAGTGGTCTGGCACCTCATTGCTGGTGTCCGATGAGTGGCCACTGAGTCCTCCCTTCAAGTCCCTGGAGTCCACACTCCACTCTGGTGGGCACTGCTTCACTCTGGCTCAGTGGCTATAAGCCTGCTGCACTTTGCAAGTCTATGCCAGGGGAAAGCTGTGAAAGCACCAAGTGATCACTGTGGTCCCCAAGGGATCCTTCATTCACAATCCCATATGGGGGCCATGTAGCCATGGGTGAGAGGTGTTGTTCCCACTAGGCTCTAGAGAAAGTGACTAATCTAAACCCCTTCTTTGGGGCCCAAGGGTACAGCCCAACCCCCACCCCTACCCTTAGCCTTCTCAGTGCCTCTCCCCAGCTCACTGAGTCCACTTCTCTTCACAGGTGGCCCTGTTGAACCCTATTGAGAACCCAGACTTGAAACTGGCCATCGTCATGCTGATCGTCCCCTTCTTTGTCAACGTCAGTGCCATGTTGTATTTTTACCCCAGTTTGTGCCCTGCCTTCCAGGGTTCCTTTCCAGCACTTGAGTCTGAGAGAAAACTCACCTTATAGCCCTTAGGTCTTTCTGTGTAACCATTTGTCACCTCCCATTCCCGCCTCAGACCTGGAAATGGTAGGATTGCTTCCTCAAGAGGCAGGTCCTCACTCCAGGAACCCTGTGCAGGATGGTGGGGCCTGGGAACTTTGTCTTGTCCTCCCTGCTGGGGGACCTCCCACCAAGGACCCCCATCTCATATGTGACACCAACTTCTACATCAAGATCATTTAAGATGTACCCTAGTTCTTTATTCTAGACCACAGATCTCAAAGAGAAATTCATGGACATAATAGCTAGAAGTTAGAAATTGTGAGAAGAAATGGTGAAGGAGCCTGGGACAGGCAGATGACAGCAAGTGTGTCAGCCACCACTCAGAATCCATGGGTGGAGAAGCCCCAGTGCAGGTGTCAGAGACCTTGGTTTCAGGCCCGAGACAGGGTGTCCCATCTGTTACCACAACAAAAACCCCTAAGACTGACTAGAACAGGCATTTTCTTACTTGCTCTCCAGTAAGAAGACTGAAGCAAAGGAAAGAGAGATTGAGAGTCTTTAAGCTTTGGGAGATAGCAGGGGGCTAGATGAGGATTTTCTTTCCATGATCTGGACTTTTCTACCCTAGAATAGAGGTGGGTGGGGACAGGTAATACAGGGCTGCTCTGCTTTGCTTTGCAGAGTGGTTTCTCCAACAGTAACCTGCTCTCTTCTTTCCTATAGGCTTTGATGTTTTGGGTAGTGGACAATTTCCTCATGAGAAAAGGGAAGACGAAAGCTAAGCTTGAAGAAAGGGGAGCCAACCAGGACTCAAGGAATGGGAGCAAGGTCCGCTATCGGCGGGCGGCATCCCACGAGGAGTCTGAATCTGAGGTAGGGCCTCCCTGGCCCTCTGAGGGCCTGAGCCATCCCCCCGTCTGGCATGTGGAGGTCTCTGGTCTGCACTCGGGTGCTAAATCACAGTCCCAGTCAGGGAGGGAGAAGAATCTGAGCCAAAGAGCAGCCAAGGGCACAGATGGCTCGCACCCAGCTAGGACACTCCTACTGCCCCCTTGGGGCTGGCTTGCCCCCAACAGTTCCTCTGTCAGTGGAGAAAGACAAGAGCGGGAGTAGCTTCCTTGTTCTAGGTGAGCTGGTAAGGACCCTCATGGGCCTAATTGTCTACCTTCAAGCCTTAAGGGTTTGAGTCCCTGCCTGCCACTAAAGAGCAAGGGAAGTATTGGCTAAGCCAGCTGGAAACTTCTAGAATATAGCAGTAGCCAGACTTCAAAGGAAGCAGTTCATCTTCTCTTGTTTTCTAGTCTCCTAAGTTCAGAGGTTTGGGCCTCAGGAGAGGATGGTGGTCATGAACCTTGGAGTGTTAGAGGCAAGCTGTTGTTCTGGCAGCCCCGCAGCTCTCCATCCACATCTGTGCTATGGGTGGTGGCTGAAGAAATGACTGAGACTGATGTCTATGCCCAAGAGGCCTTCAGACTGGTGGATGAGGTGCAGGTGAAGACATAAGCAGCTTGTCATAAGCAAAACCCTGGCAAACCCTGGGACGGTCTGAAGGGAGTTGTGGAAGAAGAATGGATGGGTGGGACAGAGGATGTCTTCTCTAGGCACATGTCCCTAGAATCTGGCTAGGGCCTGTCGTGTTGTGAGAGCTTGGTGAGCATTAGGTGAATGACAGTGCTACAGGTAGAAGCAGCTGGTGAGCATTCATGGTCCCCTGATTTAGCATCTAGGTAATAATGTGAAATTCACTGCGACAGTGTGGCATATATTCTAGAATATGGAACAAATGACAAGAAATGACACACAGGTATAGTCTGGCTGGATGGACAGGGTGCTTTGTGATCCAGGCAGAGCAGCTGGGCTATGCTCGTGCAGGCAGTAGGGAGCAGTGAGTGTTTAATGGAGGGCCCGAGACTGGAGGCAGGAAGCCCTGCAAGGGAACAGTCCAAGAGTGGTGGGACTGAGGCCTAGCCTGAGAATAGGAGTTGGTGTCCCTTGTAAAAGGGGGCTTTTGACCACGTGCTTCTGACATAGGCTGTTCCAGTCTTCTGTAGTGCTCGGAGGTCTGAGGAGCCAGGCAGGTGGCCTGGCAGGTGGGAGCAGATGAGTGTTTCTGTCCTGGATACTCCAGCTGATAGCCAAGTCATTCAGGAACTTAGAAAAGCAAAGTGCTCGCAATTTGTCTTCCGAAGTCACAAAGTTGGTTCAAAGCAGCTGCTCTGAAGCTATGAAACCCCCTGCCTTGTCTGTGCCCCACAGATGTTTTCTTTTCCTTTTGAAAGGCTCTGTATTTAAGGCAGCTTCAAGTGCTGAGTTTGCTCTGATCAGGGTTTGGTTCTAGTTGGAGGTTGGATGGTGAAGTGGGGAGCATTAGCAGAAGAAGAGGGGTCTGTTGACACAGCATGAGCTTCAGCAGCCATGACTGTCCTTGGAGTGGGTGTAGTCTGCGTTGGGCCAGCATGTCTCATTGTCTAAAGGGACCTCCCTTTCTAAAGACACGTGAGACTTGCTTCATCGAGGGAACCAGGGTCTGGGGAGGGCGAATGAAGAAGGCCCTGGAGGGCAAATGGAGAAGGCCCTGCAGGCCATGACTCAGGCCTTGCCTCTGCACTGCTTCAGATCCTGATCTCAGCCGATGACGAGATGGAGGAGTCTGACGTGGAGGAGGATCTCCGCAGACTGACCCCCCTCAAGCCTGTGAAGAAAAAGAAGCACCACTTTGGGCTGCCCGTATGACACAGTCCCGTGCTGGGGGTGATGGGCAGGGCCCGCCGGCCGCCCAGCATTGTTCCCTCCCTCCTCTCTCTGTCCCTCCTCTCTACCTCTGCTCCTTGCTGTCTCTGCCCACTCTGCCCGCTCCCAGACTACTGTGACCTACAAAGAGGGAAGAGGAGCCAGCGCCTATGGGGCCCACGGGCAGCTGGAGGTCCCCCACTCAGTTGCACTACAAACACTGACCAAATATGCAAGCCAGGAGTTTTGTTTGTCTATTGTTGTCCAAGCAATGTTGTAAGGGACCCCGAGGCCCCTGCCCTGTGTCTGACAGGGTGACAAGGTGGAAGAGAACAGGCACACATGAACTGTGGGCGGGTCCTTTCACCAAGGCTGCGGGCAGTGTGAACATGTAACACATTTTGGGCTAAAAGTCACTCTATGACCAAGTCAGAACCGGAATGCTTTCTTACTCAAAATAGCTTTTGTAACTATTGATTTTTGAAGCCGGTTTTATGAGCTGTGATAGTGTTACTGGTTTTTGAGTATGTGTTTATTTCCTACAAAGTACCTTTGGGACTAATGGGCAAAAACAGAGATTTTTAAGTCTTCCGTATGCAGTTTGACTTTTATATTTTTAAGTTATATTTTCATACTATTGTATTTAAAAACTCTTTTTAATCCCCAAAGAAGTGGGTTTGTTTGCCTTTCATGGGGCGCGAACTGGTGGGAGGAAAAATTTGGGAATTTTTCACTTGAAATGTTGCTAGATGATGTCCTGCCATAAGATAAGGCAAATGGTCTTGGGAGGGAGGAAGGACGGTCCTTGTCTAGAATCATCAAGCCCAGTGGTTCTGTGTCAGTCAGGCCTCAGCATAGGGCAGCTGGTCAGGACCCAGATCTGGGAGACCTGGTGCAGGTGGAATGGGAGGGGCTTTTCTCAGGGCCCATTCCTTGGTATGTTACAGGTGTTGGTTAAACTAGACCAAGAACGGGGCCTAAGAGATCTTTCTGTCCTTGCTGTATCTGCCCACTCTCCTGTATGTTCCCTGCCTCTGCAGAGCTCCCCAGTCTCTAGTCTCAGCCTTCAGAGCCAGCTCCAGGCCCACTTCCAGGAACCTCCTTTCACTGTGCTCTGGTGCCTGTCCTGGTGTCTGTCCTGGTGTTGTCTGCTTGTGATGCACAGCAATCTGGAAGATGTCTGCCTGATGAAGGGAGGCTGTTTTTCACCCCCTGCAGAGGTATGAGATGGCTGAGTGGGTGCACATGAGAGAACTCACTCTCCAAACCCACAGGCAGGATGAAGTGCTTCCGGGCTGTGTCCCTTTCTTAGGGGATGGCCCCCACTTCTCAGCATGGCCATAGGACTCTGCGGTTTTGGGAGTTTGCTGAATGGCAATGGAATGGACTGACCGTGGCAATTTTCCTGCTGGGGAAAGAGCTGCCCAGTGATTTGTCAGGCCACAGGTAGCCATGGATGTTTAGAAACAGAAAACCACATTGCTAAGGTAGAAGGGAGACAGCCCCAGCCTTAAGGGAGACAAGTGCAGAGGAGACAACCCCACTCAGAACTTTCTTTTAGACCCACATAAACACGTTTTATGTAAACACATTGGATCTGAATTATGGCATGAGTCCTCTTCTGTTCTAGACTTGGGGCAACCCTTGAGGGGGACCCTTTGCAGCCCAGTATAGAGCCAGAGGGGTGAGAGGAGTGGACACCCTAACTGTGCAGCAGGAGGTGACCCTGTTAGTGTGGGCTTTGAGGCCAAGAAGGGGGACAGGCAGGGTGGCACCTGAGATCAGGGTTAGTTGCAGGTTTGGAATTGCTCCACATTGACTCTCTTCACCCCTTCCAGCCCACAGCTGTGCTGGTGAGTCTTTCCCTGCCAGTCAGCCCTCCAGTGGGGAAGAGTGGCTGGAGCCTGCCGGCCATATAAGTCAAATCTGGGATGACCAGGACTGCTCTTCCTTGTGGGGTGGAAAGTCCCTTGTGGCATCACCAACTCAGTTCTAATTCTTCCCCTCCTGGGTTGTTTGAACAACCCATGCCTGCAGCTGTTTCTTCCACCTTCCTGGAACACAGACTTGGAGCTTCACTTTTAGTCTTGGGCTCCTAAGGTTTCCAAACTGAGAGCAAGGGGTAAGAGAGCTATGATCTATGGCAAGTGGAAACTCTGGGTTGAGTGGACCTTGGATAGTCTCATCTGAACACTCGTCCCACCTCCTCCTGAGCAATAGGTTTTAGGGACAACGAGGTAGCTGGTGAATGATGGTTTTTCCCTGTAATCCTGATTTTCAGAAAGAGCTTTAGTCTCTAAGCTGTAGCTGTATAGCTGGCTATCCAGAGATGGATGTCTGACAGGGCATCTAAGCATAGGGGACCTCTTGGCATGTGGGATTGGACAGTGTGGTCTCCATGTTTGGTCTTCCTTTCTTGTGTGTGTATGTGCACACGTGTTCACATGCACACACGTACATAGGAGAGTTTGTATCCCCAGGAGTGCCTCCTGCAGTCACTAGGAGACTCCTCCTGAGCTGCCCTCCTTCCCGGGGACAAGTTCCTCATCACCTGCTCCAAGGTGCCTTACGAGGTGCAGCCCTTCACCCAGCCACGTGGCATGCATCACCATGTGTGAGAAATGATGGGACACTGCCTGGGCACTGCATGCTATCTGATTTGTCCAAATGTGGACCTTGACCAAGATACTCATGATGAAAATTTGGAAAGTCAGGGTCATGAACAAATTTCTTATAACTAATTGAAATAAGTCGATGGAGTAGATCTGTTATATCTGAATGGAAGACGTGGTTGTTATTGTTATTTCCTATTGCTGTTGGACGGATGTTATTGACAAGGCGGAAAGGAGTATGTTAGTGAGATTCCCAGTGGTAGTGGCTTAGTGGCTTTAGTCTGCTCAGCCAAAACACATGCAAAGTAAGGGTCTGTGGCCCCTCAGCCCCAGGCACACTGATGGCCTCCTGCCTTGGACTTTAACTTGTTCTCCCTGGTAACAGGGAGTCATGGGTTACAGTCACTTGTCATGCCCCTTTCTTCAGGGAAAATATAAAAAGGCTCAAATCCAAGTTGTAATTTCCTTAAGCAGAGGAAGCCTGTAAGCTACATCCCTGAGTCCACATCCAATGGCTGTCCCAGAACCCGGAGGGAGTGGCGCCCAACCGGCAGGCAACCTGCTCTGCTCTCCAGGTGCAGTTCACTGGCCATTTTGCAGCCAAGCCAAGCCAGACAGCTCAGGTAGCTTCCCGCCAGCCAGGGAAGCCACTTTGTAGGGTGTGCGGCTGGCTTTCTGAGACACCCACAGCTAAGAGTGCAGCGCTCTCAGTTTTACCCTGTGAAGCATCGGCACTCTGAGGGGCTTTTTGGTCTGACTTGCCACAAGCACCTTGAACTCCTGGGTGGGTGGGTGGGTTGGTTGGTTGGTTGGTTTGGTTGCTTTCAATTTGATTTTCTTTCGTGAAGTTTATTAGAAGTCAGACCTATATGTGCAAAAATATGGCCCAATTCAGTTGCCATCAGTGGGGGTGTTTAATCAGTACTGTTAAAATTCATGGGAACATGTTTTTGAAATGAAAGGGAAGATGATGTACTTACATTGTAAAGTGGTTTACAATAAAGTTTGACATCTTATTACAATTTTTTTAAAAAAAGAAACTATCACTTTTGTGGTTGTTGCTTGTGTGTTCTCTAGAATTCAAACAGCTTAGTGGGGTCAAAGTTTTTTTCCAGTGAATTAGAAGATTCTTTTCAGGGGCTGGGCACTATGGCTCACACCTGTAATCCTAGCACTCTGGGATGCCGAGGCAGGTGGAAGTGAATTGCTTGAGCTCAGGAGTTCCAGACCAGCCTGAGCAAGAGCAAGACCCCATCTCTAAAAATACCCAGGCGTTGTGACAGGCACCTATAATCCCAGCTACTCAGGAGGCTAAGGCCAGAGGATCACTTGAGCGCAAGAGTTTGAGGTTGCTGTGAGCTATAATGCCACAGCACTCTACCCAGGGCATAGAGTGACACTCTGTTTCAAAAAAAAAAAAAAAGATTCTTTTCAGGAAACAGAATGAGAATGAACCTTACAGAGCCTCACAGCAGAGGTGGGAGACAAAGTCTGCCAAGGTAAAAACCAATGGCTTTTGCCATTGCCACTTCCTCACTAGTGAGAAGTTTTTTTTGGCGGGGGCAGGGGGGCCAGTTGAGACAGAGTCTCAAGCTGTTGCCCTGGGTAGAGTATCATGGTGTCATAGCTCACAGCAACCTCCAACTCTTGGGTTCAAGCAATCTTCTTGCCTCACTTTTTCTGTTTTTAGTAGAGACAGGGTCTTGCTTTTGCTCAGTCTGGTCTTGAACTCGTAAGCTCAAGCAATCCACCCACCTCGGCCTCCCAGAGTGCTAGGATTACAAGTGTGAGCCACCACACCCAGCCCTCACTAGTGAGAGGTAAAGATAGTTTCCCTCCTGAGAAGTGAGTTGTGTTGGGAGACAGACAGGAGTAAAATCCCATGTCTCTGTCCCTGAGGCCACAGGGACAGAGCCAGCTGTGGGGCAATGCCACAGCATCAGTTGCCATCGATGGCAGCACCCCCGGAGCTGACGGAAGGCCTTTACAAGGCCCAGCCTGCTCTTGGCCTATGTTCAGAGTCCTGGGCATTCCTCATGTCAGCACTTGTCTCAGGTCAGGCCTGGCAGTCCTCACATTGGCTGCCTGGAACCCTGGAACCAGGACTAGGGGGAGAGGGTGAGGGTGGTGTTTGAGGTATGACAGCAGTGGAGTGGCATTTGGGATAACCAAAGGTCAGTGTCTGGTTTGGTTCCATCTGCCTTAAGCCTTCAGGGATAAAAATAATCTCCATCACAAACTGAAAAGGAACTTGGGTATGTCTGATCTAACAGGGAAGGCCTTGACCTCCTACCTATATCAGTTCTCACACCCAGTCCAAGGTTACTGTTCTGCATGGGCCCCCCAGGGATCTTCCCCTTACAAGGATGGGAGTGAAGTTACCTTTCAGGGGCAGCCTTGAGCCTGTTCTTATCTCTGCAGCTCAATACCTGGAGTGGGCTTCACTCTCCCACTCCCTCTTTCAGCAGCTTAACCAAACTGGCCTGTAGGCCAGCCCCTCTCAGTGACCTCACCTCAGTCAAAGGCTCTGCACCTGAAACTTCCTGTCATCCTCCCATGGGCACCCTCACCTTCCTGAGCCCCTACCCACGTCTTGCTTTGTCCTTTTGCTAAACTTGCATTGGGAACATGACAGAGGACAAACCGCATCAACAAAAACATGAGCAGCTCCCCTTGGCCTCAGTTTCTCCACCTGTAAACCAGCGGTAGCGCCTTCGCTCTGAGTTAGCTGAGGGTCCAGTCTGCTCATTGCGGCGAGCAAGTATGTTCCAGTGACAAACACAGGAAGCTCCTGCCCTGCTGCCTTGCAGGGGTGGAAAATCTCTTTCTACTGGAATCTAGGGGAGGAGAAAGAAAAACAGCCTTGGAGCAGTCCAGTGGAGGAGGGCCCTCCCTTTCCCCAGGGACGCCCCAAACACAGATGAACTCTTGCAGATGAACAATTAGACTCACACATTCCAGGAGCCACATCCGTAAACACATAGCAAGTCCCACTAGCTGCCTGCAATAGAGCAGCTGTCCCCAAGGGCACAGGGTCTCCCCAGCTGTCCTAGGCAGCAGTGCTAGGAGAGCCCCTCTCATCTCCAAGAATAAACTCTGAAGCCAGAGACTGTGTGGACCTGAATCATCAGGGAGGCTCTCGGAGGAGGGGTGTGACTTCCCAGGTCAGGCAGGCAGGCTATATAAGCTCCGGAGGGCCGGGCCCGTTCAGATCTCTTCCACCAGCCACTGCCTGCCAGAGAGGCGCCTGTGGAGAGCCACACTCGCACCGCACTCACCATGTCCCAGGTAGGGGGTCTTGTCCCAAGGGGGTCACCAGCCTTGTTGGTGCCAGAGGGGGTTGGGGGGTGGGACCTGGACACTGTTAGTGCTGGCAGCTGTGTCCTGAGCTGAGCAATAAACATGAACAGGAGGCTTTCAGTCCCCGGGAGGCCAGGGATCAGGGGATGCCCTGAGGAGCCCCTGTTCAACATGGCTTTGTGGCATCCTATAGTTGGTTTGGAGGGGTGGGGAGAAATATGTGTAGGGCTTATGTAGATCTCTGCGTGTGCCTCTGTGTGTGAGGGAGCGCTTAGCATGTACAGTTTTGTGTACATCTGTAGCTAAGGCCTCTGCAGCCATGCACTCTGTGTGTGTGCTACATACATAAGGCTATATCTGTCTCTGTGTGGGGGTGTGTACACACGATGCTGTAAACACAGCCATTGCACGAGGTGTGTGTGAGCATGTGTGGACAGGAGGCTGTGTGTATGCGTGTCCACATGAGGCTGTATCTGTCTGCGTTTGTACACAAAGCTGTATCTGTGTGTGTGTAGACACACAAGGCTATGCCTATTGGTGCACAGCTCTATTCCCAGAGATCCCTCAGCAAGGGAGGGATCCCTGCACCTGCCCCTGGGGCTTAGAGAGGTATAAGGCCACAGACTTACAGGTGCCTGGTGTTGAGGGATAGGGCGAGCACTGGAGAGACAGACTAACCCGCCAGCCTGCTGCCTGCTCCTTGGGGGTTGCTGACTTTAGACTATAACTTTCTGTGGGCATCTGGTTCAAGTCTACCCTATCTGCACCCCAGAAAATAATACTGGCAGTTTTTAGGAGAGTGGCAGTCTCTAAGGGACCTCCTGCCACCCAGTGATCAGGTCTTGCAACTCATCGAGTTCCCCAGGGAGCCGGTCCCTTCCCCCTTTGCCCACTGAGCACAGCCTTAAGCGTGGCTAGGCAGGCAGATCAGTGTGAGACTGTGGTGACTACTGCCCGCAGGAGCTTCCAGTCTCAGGTGCAAGGGCAGATAGACAAGGCAGACCAAGGGAGCTGGGAGTGGAGTGTAGTTAGGAAGGCTTCCTGGAAGTGGAATGAGGCCTTAGATTGGCCTGAGTTCAATGAGCAGGGAAGAGGGCTCTTGGCCAAGGCACAGAGGACCCCACCTCAAGGCCTCCAATGGTGAGATGAGACTCTGGGATCTCTCAGGCTAGCATTCAGGAAGCCCCCATCAAGAAGAAGCGCCCCCCTGTGAAGGAGGAGGACCTGAAGGGGGCCCGAGGGAACCTGACCAAGAACCAAGAAATCAAGTCCAAGACCTACCAGGTCATGCGGGAGTGTGGTAAGTGTCCAGCTGTCTGGGGTTGGGGACACAGATTTGTGTCAGTAAAGGGGTAAGGGGATAAGGGTTCTTTTCTGAGAGTCCAGAGTTCCTGGGCTCCAGAGAAGGTGCTTCTGACACAAGGGGCCTTTCCTTGTGGGAAGCCAGGCAGGGCTGCTGACTGACTATACCTCCTCCCACAGAGCAAGCTGGCTCACCTGCCCCTTCGGTGTTCAGCCGCACCCGCACAGGCACAGAGACTGTCTTCGAGAAGCCCAAAGAAGGACCTGCCAAGAGTGTCTTTGGCTGAGTGCGTGCCACACCCCTTGCCACCCGAGCCCCAGACACAGGAACCTTTCCCAAGAACTCTTTTTCTTTTTTTTTCTTTTTTTGAGACAGAGTCTCATTCTGTCACCCTGGGTAGAGTGCCGAGAGATCATAGCTCACAGCAGCTTCAAACTCTTGGGCTTAAGTGATCCTCCTGCCTCAGCCTCCTGAGTAGCTGGGACTACAGATGCCCACCACCATGCCCAGCTAGTTTTTGTGTTTTTAGTAGAGACCGGGTTTCACTCTTGCTCAGGCTGGTCTCAAACTCCTGAGCTCAGGCAATACACCCACCTTGGCCTCCTGGAGTCAAAGATTATAGGCAGGAGCCACCTCACCCACCAAGAAGTCTTTTTTTATGCCAGAATACTTCTTCCTCTGCTGTCTGTAAGGCTAGTGCCCTCCCCTGGGCCCTGGCCCTTCAGCCAGCAGCTCTACACCAGCACCTTGAAAACATCAATAAAGAGGATGCCCAGGTGGCCCCAGCCTTTGGAGGTTGTCTGTCACTGGCCACAGCCACTGTCTACAGGGTAGAGGGAGGACAGGTGGAGTGAGTAGAATGTGTCCTGTACCTTTCCTGGGCATTTGGGAGAGCCTCACGGGATATAACACAGGTGTTATCATAGCCTTGCCACATGCTAGGAGTGTGGGATATGGAGACTGGACACACTGATCTGTGTGTTTCAGACCAGATGCTTCTTTGTTGAGCCTCAGTCTCTCCTATACGGCAAGGAGTTGAACTTGAGCCTATTTCATAACCAGGCCACAGTGACACTGCTCAGGGTGGATCAGGTAGTTGTTTGGGGTTTGCTCCTCCTTGGCCTTCCACAGAAGCCTGTGAGTTGCTTCCAAGAACCTTGAGGCTCGCAGCATCTAGGAACCTCAAAGCCCCTTCCCCCTGCAGCCTTGTTCATGCTCCCTCCTTGCCTGCTGCACCTCCTCCAAGACAAAGCTAGGTCAGGGTTTCTGTCTGGCCAGTGGCAGTCAGCTACCCGGCTACCACCTCTTCCAAACAGCAAAGTGAGCCTACTATGCTGCCTAGGGCATGGGAATGCCAGACTCCTGGGCAGTGTGATTGTCCCTCTTCAGTCCTGTGTCTCCTGTGTGCGTGGAACTGTCAGACCCAGGATTTCCTCCACTGCCATGACAAGACTGTGAACAGGCTGACAGTGGCTCTTTTGGGAACTGACAAGGCCTGGCTCAGGGCTATGTGGTCTACTGGGGAGGTCTGCCTATCCTGGGGCCAAATGAAGCTGACACTCAGAACATTTCCCATGTTTCCAGCCAGCCAGGCCTCCTTATATAGCTCTGGTTCCAGGCTGGGCCCATGCTCTGTGCCCCAAGGGAGCATATTTCTGTGAGAAAGGGCCTGAGCCTGCTCACTGGGGTCCTTGGGGAAGCTCCTCCCCCAGATACCGAAGAAATGTGTTTCAGAGCCAAAAGGGTGAGCAGTAGAGGTATGCAGAGACAAGGCTCTGCCCATAGTCATGCTATGGAAGGGGAACATCTTACTTGCAGCCATAGAAACAACTCCAAAGTCTATGATGTCCTTCCCCCAGGGCCAGATGCTGCCAGCTCTGCTGGAGGCGGTGCTGATGGAGAAAACCCTTCCCCAGCCTCTGGAAGCCACTCACCACCTTAGGGCCCTGTGATGTCCCACAGAGGACTCTCCCCCACAGTTGGTATCACTGAGTGGGGTCCTCCTTCCCAGACCCGGATTTGGCACCTGTCCACATCTTTAAGACTCATCTCTGTCCATGTGTGGCCGCAGACTTGGGAGCTGCTTCCCAGAGCCGTCTGGGAGCACACACACAACTGCAGAGGGCCTACTGTTGATTCACTCTGTTGCTGTTTGATACAAAAGGAACACTTCAGCTTCATGAAAGGCAACTTTGTTTTTTAAAGTCACTGAAGGGTGGCACCTGTGGCTCAAGGAGTAGGGTGTCGGCCCCATATACTGGGGGTGGTAGGTTCAAACCCAGCCCCAGCCAAAAAAAACTACAACAAAAATAAATAAATAAAAAGTCACCGAAACCGTCATCTCAGGCCCTTGGGTGGCACTCCAGCACTCCCTCGAGTCTGGGCTGTGGCAGCATCACACTAGTCATGACAATGGCATTCTGCCCTCTCTCAAGCAGTGCTTCATGGGCACCCTTGACACGACTGACTTCCACACCCAGGAACCCCCCAGGAGCTCTGTGTGGTCTTCTGTTCTGTTCCATCTCTCCTGTCAAATTCCCCACATCAAGACCTCTGAGTCACAGGACGTAGCATCTTTGTGACTCTCACTTTGCAGGTCTCCTTTTGGGGGCCCCTGAGCCCAGCACCTCTCAGTCTAGAACTTAGGCATATCTATCTTGCCTCAGCCCTGATAGATCTTGCCCCACCCAGACACCTCCAAGAGATGCCATCCAGCCCCCTCACTGCCCAGTCACACTCCCCTGGGTGCCAAGGTCCCCTTCTTCCAGGAGGCCACTTGGCGTGGCCTGTTTCTCCTGGCTGACTTATGGCTGGTGTCTTCACTGTTGTCCCCCAGCCCTGCAGAGCTTGGTGGAACAACTGGTGTAAGAACTGGTGGTGCCTGGAAAGGTTCTGTACCTTTCAGAATGGGCCCATTACCTAACTCCAATCTGAGCCTGGCTTTCCTCAGTAGATGTCCTGCCCCAGCCAAGGTCCACAAGACATTCGTCATTTACCTGCTTATCTGAGGCCACTGTGGTTTTTGGCTTATGGATCCCGATTTCTCAGAACCTGCCCCCGCAGGGGCGGGGCAACAAGCAAGTTATTAATTCATTCTCCACTTGCTCTTCGGTTCAGAAGCAGCCTGGCAGACACAGGAGACATGATGAAGCCCCCAGCCCCAGTCTGTACCCGCGGCCTCATGCTGGTCCTGCTGTGGATGCTGGCTGTCCTTCAGACCACCACTGCCCAGAAGGTAGCTGGCATCCAGGGTGCCTGTATGTGTGCCTGGCATGAGTGGCATGAGCTGGGAAGCCAGAGGTTTGTGAGAAGTGAGAGCCTCCACCTGTGCAAGCGTGTCAGTGTGCGTGTGCAAAGGAGTGGTGCTGACCATCCACCAGGTACCACCCAAGGGCCTCACAGGTATCTTCCCACTTGAAAAGGAATAATCATATTATTTTCTTTTTATAGATGAGGAAAGGCAGTTTTATGAGCCCAGTTCTGCAGCTCCCTGGGGGAAGTTATTCATGTTACGTCTCAGTTTTCTCATCTGTAAAATAGGGTAGTAATAGTATCTTTTCAGAGGACTGTTGTGAAATCAAACCCAGAACACCTATACAGTGCTTAAAATAGTGCCTGGCACAGAGCAAACACTCAAACACATACAAAAGCCATTTGGCGGCCCAGTGCTGAGCTGCATGTGCAGACAGCATGTGCAGCTGGGCAGGGTTGGTGTCAAGTACACGCGCATGGCACGCACGGGAAAGGAAAGAGGTTTGTAAGGTTGTATGTGGGTGCACATGTGTCATTCCCCCCGGAGACCACAAACCTTGGGGCAAAGAGTGTGGCAGGGTCGGGGGCAGAACTGGGGGAAGGTACACTGCAGGGAAAAGGGGCAAAGAAGAAGAGTCCCACCCAGCTCTTAGAGACTGGCACTTATGTATCTCCAGATGCTCCCAGCTCCTGTGGGCCCCAGGGAGGAGACTGGCAGGAGACATTTTCCTCAGTTTTCATGGAGCCTAAAGTCTCCAGAAATCAAAGGACCTATTCACTGGGCAGAGCTAAGCCTGTATACAAAGCGCTCTCACCTCTGGCCAAAGGATAACCGTGACACCCTTTCACCGGACAATGGGGCTCAGGCTTCATCGCCCACTGCGTGCTGCTTCTCTAAGGGATGCTGTGGGTCCTATAGGTCAAAACGGACATGGCCCCTGCCCTGTGGCACTGTAGAGTGGGGAATGGAGCACACAACTGCTTATCTAAGATGAATGTTCACAGGTGAAAAATGCCTCACTGGATTCAGCCTGAGGCTGGACAGTGACTTAGTTGGATTGGGGGCCAGGGTTTTGTCGGGAACCAGCATCACAGTCTACTTGTGACGAGTATTGCCCTGAGCTGGGATGATGTTGAAACGCTCTAACCCCCTTCTCCTTCACTGGTCTAGAAGCACATCGACATCTACAGCCTTACCGTGGACTCCAAGGTCTCATCCCGATTTTCCCACACTGTGGTTACCAGCCGGGTAGTCAATAGGGCCGACACTGTGCAGGAAGCCATCTTCCAGATGGAGCTGCCCAAGAAAGCCTTCATCACCAACTTCTCCATGTACGTGCCTCACCCTGCTCTGTGACCCATCTGCTCTGCACCTGTCAGACCCCCTTTCTGAAGTGAGGTGTGCCAGGGTGTGCGTCTTCAGCTTTACCAAGGAACTTACCTGTTCTCAGAGACGTCTGCAGCCTTCCCTCTTTTCCCTAAGTGCTGCCTGGGTAGTAGGCAGGGAACCGCACCTGTGTCTTTGCCTTTGAGGAGCACCAGCTCAGGCATCCTGAGGCCAGACCTGGGCAGGAGCAAGTCAACAAAAAGCAGATTCTAGCTCAGGAAACTTCCTAACCCTCCGGACTCCCCACAGTGGAGACTCTCCTTGAGGAGGGGTCTTCCATGGCATGCTCCAAACTGGGATGCCATAGGGGGCGTTTCTGCTTGGCTTGCATCAGGAGATGCCTGGGGTTTCTGTGAACTCTGAGCCAGCGGTGATCCTTACTCACTTAGTCTTCTGCCAACTTGATTTCATAATGTTTGCTAACTGTTCCTGGCCCCTGGGAGAGGCCATGATTGAGGACAGGGAGACGCTGCTCCCAGAAACTGTGAGGGCAGTGGTAGGGCAGAGAGGGAGTATCTCTGAGGCTGGGTCCCCAGTGTATGCTGGGGCCTCTGAGAAACTGCTAAACTGCTGTGGGGGGCTGGGGTCCTTGCGGTAGTTTCCTCACTCCCTACCCCACAGCAGAACCAACGTGCTGTGTGAGCTTCACAGGCTATGCTGGCCT